TTTCAAGCTAATGACGACCGCCGAATGATCAGACAGCACACAGGCAACAATTTCTGTTTGAACTACATCACTAATAAGTGACTGGCTTACCAGAAAATAGTCTAGTCTACTTTGGATCAATACAGGATTGAAGCTACTTTTCTCCGGATGTATAATCAACCGCCTCCAAAAAGCCATGAAACATCTCCGAAACACGAACCCATTTCTGGGGGTTACCACTTTTCCTATCTTTAACCATGTCCAATACAATGTTGTGATCCCCCCCCCCCACACACACACAATTTGGATATCTGGGTCTGACATGCTCCCCCTGATCTCACTGAGTAAATTCTTCAGAAAATTTATGTACAGTTTTTCTTCATTTGGGGCATATGAATTAACCAAAAGAAAATGTTTCCCATATAGCATAACATCGTGAATTAAATACCTGCCCCCTGGGTCACATATTGGCCAGGTTACATCTTAGGTACAGAAGTTCAAGGTCACAGTATGTGTTTAGGGATGTTCACAATATATCTGCAAGAGAAAAATAGCTAATACCTTTAAAATTGTCACTCAAGCAACACACAAAATTTGGGTACAATTGGGTCAAAAGTCATGGCCGCAGTACATGTTTACGTATGTTTAGTAGTCACATTGGAAGGCAAAAAAGCATGAGCCATTTTCAAAGTTTGGAAAATCACACGTGAAGTGGGAAAGTTGCTTGAAAGTTCAGAAAGCCACCTGAAAAGTCTTAAATGCTGCATTGGAAAATCAGACAGTTGCCTGAAACAACAGCTGTCACAAAAGTCGCCTGTGAGGGCGGAAACATTGCCGAAAAGTCACCCAAGCTATCTACATAGTTGAAAATTCACTTTGGATGGCAGGACAGTTGCCTGAAAAGTCACAGAATCCATCTATGAATTGGTTATACATGACCAGAATATTGCTGAAAAGTCGTGAAAGGGGTCTGCAAAGTTTTAAAAGTCGCTTTGAAGGGTAATTGAACAACAAGAAAGTTGCAAAGTTTGTGAGGTCGTTTTGAACAGTATGAGAATTGCCTGAAAAGTCAAACAAGCATTTGATAATTTTTGAAAGTTGATTTAAAAGATTTGAAATTTCATTACAACGTTCAAATAATCATTTGCCTGAAAATCATTAAAACCATCTGGAAAGTTAAAAAGGCCCGTTGAACGACAGAAAAATTGCCTGAAATGCAATGAGTGTCATTTACAAATGTTAAAAATTTCTCTTTGGGAGGTGCGAACATTGCAGGAAGGCCATTATAATCATCTGCTAAGTTTATAAAGTCACTTTGAAATGAGAAAAAAGGTTGCCTGGAGCTCATACCACTAATAAAATTAATGGTCTGTGATTGAAATTATCTTTGAGTCGAGGTATGTGTGGGGATCGAAATCGTTACTTTGCGCCACCTGAATGCGCCGGCGCATTCCCGAAATAAGCATCGTGCATGCACCACCAAGTTGCGTCATCATTCTGCGCCCTCACTTGGTGTCAACGAGAAAATTCATATTGTGCCACATTATGGGTTCAAGCTTTTTTTAAATGTGTCGCTTACGACTTGTTTACCACTTCCGTGTGACTGAGAATGTTCTAGAACCGTACTGTGTCTGGGTGGAATTTTTAGAAGCTGGTTGAATAGGTAATAGGATACTGTAGAAGGCAATAGAAGGTAATGGAACATTCTAGAAATTTGTAGTAAATTCCAGACTCATTATGTATGCTGATGTAATGGTCTATTTATAGACAGTATGGATATATATATATATAGGGGAGTTGTTCAGCACTGAGATCAGATCGGAGATCTCGTTGAATTGTATTGGAGTTTAAGTATCTAGTTATTGGAGTAGTGGAGTTTTACCGCGTTATTGTAGTTGATGTTTGCAGAGTATAATAATACCAGTACCAGTTGAAACTTCATCTGTTGGCTCCGTGTTCGTATTTTATCATCGCCGCCAGGGAAGTTCTTTTGTTACTGTTGCCATTTTGGTATTTGAACCATCACACCTGTACTATACCAATTACGGTAATATTACGTTGCGTGTGACAAAATGCAAAAATATAAACCCCTACAAAATGCCGGTGAAGTTATAATAAAGCTATAATTTGGTAAAATCGACAGATAAAAACGCCAAAATCGCTCGTTTCCAATGAGGTAGTGTGAAATTGTGCCTGACATACTTATACGTAAATGAATGATATGTGAAACAAACAGTGTTTGTAAACACTCATTGCGTGTGAGATGGCAAAAAATCACCCAATAACGGGCTATCAACGGCTAATTCTAATGTCACGAAACCATGAAAACAAATATTATTTTTTGGGAGTGGCTAAATTAATAGAACGAAAACGGAAATCATCATTATTAGGAGTACCAAG